AAGGAGAAGAATGAGGAAGAGTAGAAGAGGGAGAATGAGAAGAAGGAAGAGGAAGAAGAGAAGGAGAGGTAGAAGGAGAAGAAGGAGAAGAAGAAAAATTAGGAAGAGAAGAATAAGGAAGAGGAGAAAGAGAGGGAGAGGAAGGAGAAGGAGGAAGAGGAGAAGGAGAGGTAGAAGGAGAAGAATGAGGAAGAGAGGGAGAGGAAGAGGAAGAAGGAGGAGAAGAAAGAGGAAGAGGAAGAGGAAGAGAGGTAGAGGAAGAAGGAGAAGGAAGAGCAAGAGGAAGAGGAAGAGGAGAAGAAGTGGTACTACATGGAAAAGGAGTAGGAGTAGGACAAGAAGTAGAAAGTGAAGGATAAAAAGACAAGCACAAGGACAGAGAGGCGTTGAAGGAAGTAGAGGAAGTGCAAACAGGCAGAGTTGAGAAGAATGCATAAGTGAGGACAGTATGTGTCAGTTGCAACCTCAACAGCCTTACGAAGGCAGATGGGCGAGGCCAAAGAGTAAAGAGGAATATATGAAGACCAAGATGTTGTCTCCTCTGGTGTAGTCGCAGTCTCCTTTCGATTGATAGAAGTGGGTTGACCTCGTTGTCGCAACTTGATCTTTTGTTTTCAGGGAGACTATGCAGAACGCACCTAGTACGAAGTCGTCTGCCATAGTAGTTGTCATGATTCCCAGGAATTTGTTTTTAACCCTGGCTTGAGGTACTCAACTGATTTACTATGACCACAAAAAGTGATGGTTGGCTAGACTGCACCGCTGCCAGCCTGCATCAGCAAAATGAGGGTTTACCCATATGAAATGTAATCACCATAGTTAGTTTAAGGCGAGGTGAAATCCAATGGAAACGTAAGGCACAGAAACATAATTGTGGGAATACTCAACTACCAGGCCTTGATCACTTTAGACGAAATAGGGCGAATATATCTCAGCTATATAAGTAGTCTGGAAGGCAAGTTCTCGATGTGTCGAGGTAGTGAATTTACGTGTACTCTTAAACCGTTTCAGATGGACAAGTCGGCAATCATCCATATCTGGAAGGACGAATGGACTGAAACGATAAAGACAATCACAGCCCAGGGATATCCAGTACTGCTGTCCAGCTGTTGGTACCTCAACTATATCCGGTATGGCATCGACTGGGAGACCTTCTATCGCTGCGACCCGAGCAACTTTGAAGGTGAGCCAGAAAGGAATAGAAGGAGTTGAAGCAAGACAGAATTAGGAGTTGGGGGGGGGGACAGAAAAAAACGAGGAAGATCAGGAATAGGAGTATTTTGTAGATCACTTTATTTCGAAAAATGTCGATCATAGTACAGGCTGACAAACATCTTTTCTGACGCATGAAGATGTATTTATGCTAAAGATTTGTTTTTTTCTTAAGGCCCTTTTATGAGCCAACTAACGGACACCAATCCGTCTCATGTCGCATTCATACCTTCCACCCAGTTGCCACTTCATGTTCGCCTAAATGTCTCAGTCCGCCAAACACAGTCGCTACAATGCGATGATGTGGCTGGCAGATCAGGCCAACTCAGAACGATGGAAGAAGCAGCAGCCGTTGGACCAAATGTCGCGTCCACTCGGCTCGAGCATGAACAAAACGCCCGTGCTGCAATACCGGGAGCCTCAGAAACCCGAGCACCTTATGGCACCCTGGCAACCAGACTAGTCTCGTAGACTATAGAGTCAAGTTCCAACATTGACCAGCTAACCGGTCGTCAAGTTACAACCTGGCAGTAGAGACGAGTCCAGCCGAAGCTAGAGAAAAGTGACTGCGACCAAACTGCAAACATTGCATGACCACAGAAATCTGGTCGGTTGCAATTGTAAAGAGCAACATGTGCTGAGGCACAAAGATTTTTTGACGACCATTTAATGCATTAATTTATCACAGTTTTAACTACATTCTTCCTCTATTTTCAAACCATACACGATTGCCTTTTAATTTTAATAGGAACTGCGGAGCAGAAAGCCTTGGTCCGGGGCGGCGAGGCGGCAATGTGGGGCGAATACGTGGACGGCACAAACATAATTCCTCGTTCTTGGTAGGTCGGCGTTGAGTGGAGAGAGGCCTTCCGCAACGTTCACTTTAACCAAGACAATAAAAACAGTAGTCATCAAAATTCGCATGTGATGCCAAATTAGTAGGCACAACTTTTCCGCGTGGGCCAGACAATGTCATTTTAGGTCACCCAGCCTTGCTTGCCGAAAGAAGGCCTCATCTTAGCTGGACTGAAATACACTTTCCAGCTTGCCTGGGTTTCATCAACACCTTCAACGGGA